CTTTAATGCTGGTGMTTCTTAATGCTACTTGTTGCTCACRGATTGCCTCACCTCGTGGAGAAGGATTCCTGGAGTGGAGGAATTCTCAGTCATGAGGCACCCTTGGCTGTCCCACTCTGCTGCTGGCTGTTGATGTTTAATTTAATGAGATTTTCAATAGCACAAATCAACCAAACTGGGTTCTTTCCTACTTTAACCAACGAAGAGGAGCAGGAGTCAGGGGAAATCATCAGGTGAAGCACAGGGAGCACCCTCAAGTGGTGGTTTGGCTTTGCAAATCCCACCTGTGATTTCCTGACCCTCCAGTCCCTGACAGGAGCTTTCCCAGTGCAGCCATGGGGGTTCAATATCCAGCTCAGCTCCTGCTGCTGTGAAGTCCAGGCAGTCTCCACCTTGCTTCAGGCTTTTCCTTGTCCCAAAGGGATGTGGAGCCTYCCAAACACAGGCTGCAGTCATGGTCCAGATGTGTCCACAGGATCCTCATGGCACAGAGCTGCATTTGTGCTGAATTTGAAGAAGCTGCTTCCCATTCCACTCACATTGAGCACATTTCTGCAGGAGCTGCCGTAAAGCTCCTTGGTGAAAGAGAAATTGATGCAATAATCCATGGGAAGAGGAGAAGAGCAAGAATCCTTCGATCTCGAGTCCAAATGTGCAGAGTTCTGCCCTGGATGGCTTCCAGAAAGGGAATTTGGATTGATCCAAGGAGCTTTTACATCATGGATTTGTCCCAGGGTCGGGGAAGGTGGGACAGAAGAGACACTGCATCTTCCACGGCCTGGCAAGTGCCTCACACACAGCAGGGAAACCCTAAAAAGAGTGCGGTGCTCTGGCACAGCTTCCCCAAAACTGGGGTCCAGTGACCATGTGGAGTCAGGCAGAAGTGATTAAATAATTATTTTTAAACAGCCAAAAATGTAAATCAGTTGTTTTTCAGTTGTTTCTAGCAGAATTCCCACTACAAAAAAAAGCAAATGCTCCTCAGGGAGTTGGGCTCACATGGCTTCCCAGGCCAGTGTTTTAACTTCTTAGTGCCAGATTTTGGCTTCTGGAAGTTTCAGGCAGTGATTTTCAGCCAAAATGCACCGTATGAGAACTGCTGACATTAAAAGATAAACGAGATTTKTGAATTCCCTGAGCTGCAAACTCCACCACAGGAGGAGGAGTCCTAAGTGAGGAATGAGCATCAGGAGCTGGGGCATTGCTGAGAATCTCATTTGACTGGATTTTCTTTCAGGAGGTTCAGAAGGCCTGGAGAAGCTTTAGAGAAAACTGCAATTGCTTTGCTGCCTCCTGGTCAGCAATTATTGATTGCCCCCAGTAATTGTCCGTTCTTTGGAAGCAGAGCACAGATAGACTGACCACGGGTGGGTCAGCAGGAGCACAAAGACCTTCCCAAAGCAGCCTGAGGCCTTTTGTTGGCTCTTGGACACAGATCAGGATTTGCTGAAGTTTTGGAAGGCCAGATGCAGAGCTGGGAGCAGTTCCTCCATCTGTGGGTGGGTTCATCCTCGCACCCACCCCTCGGAGCTCTCCYRTTTCACTGAATAAAGCAGGGGAAGTGCYTTTCTGGGCGAGGAAGGCAGGAGGRATCAGAGCTGCAGCCCATCCTTTCCTCCTCATTCCCCTCAGCAGGATGTGCTCATTCCATCAGGAGCTCATTTGCACTTGTCCTGCTTCTCCCACTCTTCTTAACGTTGTTTTTAGTCCAACACCCCTGCTCATCTGTGCCACACAGCCCTGGCCTCTGGCACRTCCCAGCCTGGGAAGGAGCTCAAGTTTGAGATCAATCATTAGGTAAATTATTTAACATTGTTTAATGATTTTAAAACCACATAGAAGTGGCACTTGGGGAGGGCTTGGCAGTGCTCRGGGTAATGGATGATCTTAGAGAGAACTTTTCCAACCTAAACCATTTTCTGRTWATTCCCAGGCAYGCARACTGCTRCTACAATTTCTGAAYAAAGCTAAGCTACCATCTTATCCTGAATTCATCTCTATGGCAGCTACAAAAAAAAACCCACCCTAATTCCTGATTAACCAAACCTCARGTGGCTCTGCCTCCCTTGGGTTGGAATAGCAGTGCAGGAAACCTTAACGTGGTGAACRAAGCACTGATAAAAATAAAGGCCATCAAAATCTCAAACTCCAACACAGGGAGTGTTGCAAGTTGGAAAACAAAATTTCTGTGCTAAATATTGGGGGTTATTTCCAGTGCAGTCTGGGAACAGATCCTCCAGGGAGTTCACTCTGCCTGAGTGCTGCTGCTTTGAAAACTGCATTGCTGCTGATTTGYACTGGAACCACCTTTTCCTTCTGTAAAGCCCCAATGTCAGCCTTGGCCTTTGGCTTTTGTAGATGAGAATTACAGACAAATCCAGGTGTTCTTGTGTTTAGATTGGATATTACGAGGAGAAATACAGAATTTCATCTGTGCAG